CAAGGGATGACCATCGTGCTGAACCTGCTGTGGGAAATCCAACACCGTGGGGCCAAGATCAAAGAGGAATGGGACTTAGCGGCGATGAACATAATCCGATCAGACAACCCTGGACCTGTCTCTTATACACATCTAGATGTGTATAAGAGACAGATGCGCATGCTTCAGATGTGCAAATTGAGAATGAATCTTCCCGTTCTTGAAGGCGTAAGGTGATTCCGAGGGGACACATTTGTTGTGGAATGACATAGCTGATCATTATGTCCCTGTTAATTATCTGTGTATGATGGTAACGGTGTCGACTCCAACTTGAGTTGACTCGACACGTTAATAGTGTTGACACCAACGCGAGTTGAGTCGACGCATTAACAGTGTTGACTCCAATGCGAGTTGACTCGACGTGTTACCAGTGTTGAGATTAAAGTTGACTTGTGACGACTATCGGCGTTTGAGTAGTGTCGACTCCAATGCGAGTTTGACCGCGGCTCGAGTGAATTAAGCTTGCGCACACATGGGGATGGAAGATGTGCTTTAAGGAACTGGAAGAACAGTTTTACAGTTCAGCAACGAACACACGGATTCCAGGAAGACAGCAACTGAGGCAGGCTGTTGAGTGGCCAGCCAACATCACAGTGGTGTTCAACAATCCGACGGCGATGGAATGGCATCCCTCCAGGTTTAGGGTTTGAATGCCCTGCGTCCGTTTTCGTGGGCTCTTCCCTTTTCTGCTCTCCCCATCGAGATAATCGACAGCTTTTTCTTGAAATGATCTCCGTGTGCTCTGAGCAGCTTGCAGACCTGAGAAACTCCCGTCTGTACATCTCCTGTCTGTAGGTGGGCTCTCTTTATTGCCAATTTGCCAAGGCCTCATTTATTGGCCTGGGCCGTCACCCGCTGGGCCACTGATAACTGGTGCAGAGGGCAGTTCATCGTGTTATTAGACCCCTCTTCAGCCATATACCGAGGCTTGCTAGATTTTAGACCTCCAGGGTGCAGTGTCCCCCTGATGTCTGAACTGAAGCGTGCTGCATTAACTGGGGCTTCTTTCCTTTTGCAGAGCCTAAAGGCTCACCAGGCCTCGTCAGCCACACTGAAATCACACTCAGGCAGCAAATGAACTCAGGTCATAAGCACTGTTTTGGACCAAACCACGAAACTCTCCCTCCATCTTCCCTTGAATAGAACGAAACGGCATTATCGCTGTATCTAGACTGAACTTTGGCCCAAATACAGCTATAATGACTATATGTTCTATTCAGGGGGAAGACAGTTGTGCCCTTTGCAGGCAGAAGGGGTTGGCAAAGTGTCCTCACAGGGCGTGTCACTGAATGTCCAGCTGGGATCCCAGTTGTGCCAGTCTCTAATGCAGAGCCTTAGAGGTTGATCACCATCGTCCCTCTCCCTCTCCCCTTCCCGCTCCCTCCCCCCCCCCAGCCCCAACCTGCGAAAGTCTGTTGTTTTCTTTCTGGGTCTTGCTTGCTTTCGTTGGAGTCACTCTCAAGGGGATAGGCCTCCTGAGAATCCAAAGGTCAAATGGATACCACTAGAGGCGCCAATCAGAGTTTTAGGAGTTGTGTTCACAACTAGGGGGAAACCGATCTCTAATGATGTATGGATCACCTCCCCAACAGTACAAAAAATGAAGCAATGGAAAAATCAACATACTTCCCTGTTTGGTAGGACATTGGTCATTAATAATGTAATATTGGCTTCAATTTGGTACAAGTCTGTTTTATGGCCACTAAACAAAGGCCCGGCCAAGGAACTCCGGGGACAGCTCACGACCTTTATTTGGTGAGGAGATCACGAAACGCCTCTTGTAATCCCCAGAGTGGCATGACAAGTTCTTATACAGTCAAAGTCCAAAGGAGGACTCGGCATTTTGGATCCTACGATCCAGTGTCAAGCATTAGCACTTCAATGGTTAAAACGGCTAATATTGCCCACGGATCTTCCATGGCGAGCACTGGCACTGGAACAAATACGTAGAATGGCTCCACAAACCACAAAAGATGTAAACCCACTCACTTAGGTGGAGGACACGTATTGGACTATTCCTCGGCCTCAAGCACACTCTCAAAAGAATGGGGAAGGGAGGGAAGTAAGAAAGGATCTGGTATTGGACAGATTTTTGGCTACCCTATTGAAAAATTGGCGTAAACTTCCTTTGCCTAACAAATCGCCCCCTTCCAGGTATGAGGAAGTTCCACGACAACCATTTTTTCGCAATAGGTGGATGATTGACGCGCAAGGATGGGTGTTCATAAGTTTCACCCCCCAACCGGTTAAATACGGCGTGGTAAGGATCAAGGATTTGTGGAACACGGAAAGCAAAAGTTGGAAATTTGTGAATCAGTTAAGAAAAGAAGTTAAGTATGCACGTAATTTAGTAGAGAATCTTGATCTAATCACTTCGTTTATTTCGTTGGCGTGGGTGGCTGCCTTGAAAAAGGGTCCTCCTTTTTTTATTGAGATTGGGTGTGTGCTCATCTGATGGAGGGTTCCAGGGGAAGTGGGGCAAATACTAGATATTCATACGGATGGTGCCCTAGTAAATCTTTTTGCACTCCACAAAGACTTTTCCCTTTCACAAAGCAACCACGATAAGGTAGTGTTCTTCCATTTTGAGTCACTCTTTAGAGTGAGGACATTGTATTGTCCAGTCTCCAAAGGATGGATTGTGTACGCTCTGAATATCCTTATACTGGATCTCCCTCTGGACCCAGCAGAGTGGATTTGGCGTACCAACAGGAGATGCAAAGCAAAAAAAATACAGTTTTTATTTGTTAAAGCTTCGTATCGCCTGTTAAGCCCACGGGTAGATGTTCTTGCTGTTATACAGGAATGATGGGCTCGACATTTAAATATTCACACGGATCTGCTCAAACCGATTAAGTGGTGTCAAGGATTCAAGGAGAGGCCTACTAAGTTTGCGTCACTACAGTGGCAGATTGTCCATCGTTTCTTACCAACTAATGACTGGTTGATTGACCATTCAACGTTGGAACAAAAGGGTGTAGCCCTACCGTGGTGTTGTGCTTATATGGAGATCTTCCCTAGTAGGAAGATAAGGGAAACAATTGAATACACATTTTTGCAATGTCCGGGGGCAAAATTGTTGTGGAGGCCTTGGGATTATGTATGGAGTAAATTGATAGGTGTAGATTGGCTTTGGGACTGGAGGGCGATCCTTATGGGTTACTGGTGTCCTGCCCTCGTCTGCTTATCAATTTCTCAACAGAATCTATTTAACATATAAAAGGTGTGTGTTTACGATGGAAAAGGCAAGGATTGAGGGCATAAAAAATATCTAAGCTGGTACAATTATTCATAGAAACAGAAATAAGGTCTCAATGGGATAAGACTAAATTTGGGTTTCAAACTCTACAATAAAAATAGGATTTTAAGAAACAAATACAAAATTTCACAAAGGACTGGTTGGGTGATTCTTCAAGAAGGAAAATGGGGAATGTGGAGTGGCCAAGTACGGAAGAAGAAGAGAATAACTTCAAGAGGGACTATCAGATCACCTTCCAGACCTGGTTTGATGTCCAACCAGGTGCCACCTTGAGATCTCTGAAATCCTTTTCGGACCCCTTTCCCCCTTCTGAGCTTGCTTTGGTAGATCTTCATTGGTATGGGGGGCGGGAGGGGTAACAAGTTGTTTTTTTATCTTCAGTTTGTCTGTTAAAATCTGTTAGTCTGGGGGGTTAAATAGTCTACAAACACTTGATGTCAGAATAGGTATGATGGGATGAATGGGTATCCGGGGATGGACAAGAGGTTGCGCTGCTAGCATTAGCATAGTCATCTGGCGGTCAGATTTTGGCTGAAGTGGCAACTCTCCTTCTGTCACCCCTCTCCTTGAACCATGGCTCGGTAACATTTGTATGAGGGACGTTGGATCCGGTTTCCAACAACATATGTATGAGGGACGTTGGACCCGGTTTCCAGCAAGTGCAGCTCCACACCAATAGAATGGAACCGGTGGTTGGACCGCTAGTGGTGGATGCTCTTATGATCATCACTAGCAACCAAGGCCGGTTTTATAAAAAAAAAATAATAATAAATAAATAAAATCCACAAGATACATAAAGAGCTCAAAACTATTGAACAAAGTATGTGATCACAACCACATCCGAAGATTTTGTACAATCAATTGAAATCTGTAAAAAAATCGTTACCTTGTCATCGTATGTGTTCCTTCTCACTATAGCAAGCATCACATCTGTAGATAAAGCGATGATCATTCGTCCACAGTTACCCAAATTTCATATGAATAAATAAGCAGCTACAACTGCATCATGCTTGAAGTTCCCTCCCAAACCCGCATAGAATGCTGCAGTAGGAATTTTGAAATTCAGCTTCACTTTTAGATAACAAGAGACCAACTACGCAGACAACGTCACGATCTGACTCTATATAGTTAATTACGAAAGAGTCACAAAAAAAAAATCTTCAATGCACCCCAATGACACAGCTGCAATCATTTGCTGAATAAGACCACCATGGGCCGCTAAGGCTAGATAGATATGGCTTCCAAAGTCGTAGGCGAACCTTTGCCTCTATAGCGGCCGCTACTGAGCACATAGTTTGAAGCCCCTTAGGGACGCACCGTCACCACGCCTCCCCAAAACAATCAATTCTTCAACCTCTGACTAACTTACTTGATCACTATACTTACTTGTATCGGCTTCATAGTAGTGGTTTTA